GAGGCACTCAGGCACCATCCTACCCTGCCAGTTATCACCACCCTGCTACCTGTCACCTGCTGTCTTCTCTCTGCATGTGTGCCTGGCTCTCCAGATGCCAAGTGCTGTAGAGTGCACAAAGATATCTTCATGGGGTCCCCAGTTAGGGACACACATGAGCACTGCAGACTCATGGGCAAGGGCACACTGGTCATGGGGAGCCCAGACCTATACTCACATGCATGCACACACACACACAAATACAAGATATACACACATTCGGACCATAGGGACATGGACTTGCATGTATCTACACACAAACAGGTAAAGGTGGGCTGCACATGAGTGACAGCTGCCTGGAGGTCTTCAAGCCTCTGTTCACTGGGCCATGGGTATCTTCAGCTAGCAGAGAGTGTCCTTTGGATAGAAGTGACTTGCCAGGAAAAGTGGTGCACATCTACAACCCCAGCACACAAGAGACTGAGGCAGGAAGATCACTACCAGTTTGAGGCCAATCTGGATTATACAGCAAAAGCCTATTTCAAAACAGAAAACCAAGAAGTGACCTGCTGCTCTGCAGAGCCCTCAGACTTCAGACTCAGCCAGCCTCAGTGGGCTCTGCGCTGTGAGCATGAGGTCTGGCTCAGGTTCTGGGCCAGTTTAGCCGAGCTGCCTGTGTTCAGGGAGCAACCATTCCCAGGCTGCATTGTTCTGGGACATGAGTCAGGAACACCAGGTCTCTGCTCAGGAGGAAACAGGAAGGGGGCTCTGGAGGAGTGCACCTTTCTTGTCCACTCGCCTTGTTCTTCTAGGCCTGGCAACAGCCCTTCCATTTCCAGGGAGCCCTCTGACTGATCTGTCCTCTGCCCTTCCCTCTACATTTTCCCAATTAAAATCTCCTGTTGATTGCAGGACACCTGAGATTAAGTCATCTGGAGTGGAGGAGGGTTTACAAATGGAAAAAAGAACAGATGCTGGGTGCAGGCCTCCTGGATGCAGCCACACCAGAAACTGGCCTGTGTCTTTCCTATCTGGTTACCCAGATCAGTGCTTCGCTCATCTGGCTTCAGCCACCCAGGACCCATGTGTATCCCTACAGCTGGTAAGGGGCCTTTTTAGAGGCAGAGACCCCTCCCTTCTCACAACTATGGAGAGAATTTGTGAGGTCCCAGGCCACAGAGCAGACACAGCCATGCACTCATGCACCATCCTACCCCGCTAGCTGTCATCTGCCATCTTCTGGCTGAAGCCAGAGTGCCTGCAGAATAATGAGCACCTGAGCAGAAAAAGTGAGGAGGGGGAGTTTCCCCAAGGAATATGTATACAGCCACGGGCACCAAGCAGGGAGAGGGGTACATTGAAAAGGTAAGTCAGCCCTGAGCCTGCCCTTCCTGAAAATCTTCTGTGTTTCCCCTGCCATGAGGACAAAACTTGAACTCCTCTGTGCTCTCTAGAGAATCCCTGAGACACATCTCAGTCCCCCTGCCTACTGAGTGCCTGCCCAGGGCCCTGCCCCATCGTGATGTAGCACTGGATACACCTGCTGAGTACAGTGGGGAAGCCAGAACCCAAGGATCTGTGCAGGGCATTGGCTGCCAGGGCCACATGCTCCAGTGCCACAGCAGGGTCTGGTGTAGAGAGGGTCCCAGGGTTTCCAGGGAGAAAGGTCGGCACTAAATGGACTCCACTTCTAGTGGTGCTGCTGAGGTGCTTGTTATGACCCTGGTGGAAAAAGTACCTTTGTTGGGTCAGTGAAAAGAGGACTATAAAGGAAAGAATTTCGCATACAACAGGTACCATTTTTTTTGCAATAAAAAAGCCATTACATGGTTGATAAACCTACATACATGGTAGCACATAGAACAGCACGCGTGCACACACATGGTCCTGTATAACTTCGGAGATCTGTGCAAGATCAGTGGGCTCACCAATACCCTTGTTGGAGCTTTCAGTGATACACACAGCCTGCTGCAGCATGCGTGCCATAGGCTTGCCACTACTACTCTAGAGGTTTACAAAATGTACCACTACAGAAGAGCTGATGAAGATATTTGTGATCTTATATCTTCCTCCTTCCCTCATCCCTTCCTGTTTTCTTTCTTCCTCCCTCCTTCCCGTCAGTCTTTTAGTTTTTTTATTTTTGAGACAGTATCTTTCTATGTGGCCTTGAAATCACTATATAACCCAGGGTGGCTCAAACTCATGGCGATCCACTAGCCTCACCCTCCTGAGTGCTGGGATGACAATGTGCCCACTGTGCCTGGAAATCCCTGTAATATTTCTTGTGGCAATGTGGGAGTCTATGATGATCTAAAAATAAAAAGTTTAATTAAAAAAAAAAACTACCATAGACAAAATGGAATGGTAAGGAGGGGTTGATTTAGGTCCTTGTGGGGCTCAGGGTTGAGTGACTCTAAGATACATCCAGGCCATGGTTGGATTGGGAGCAGGAAGATAGGAGAGAGACAGACACAGGGATCAGAGGAGGGGAGTGGGAGTGGAGTAGAAAATCAGCACAGCTCCTCAAAGATGGAGGGGCTGGAGAGTTGCCTACACTCACCACTAAATCACCTATTACTCATTTCCCAAGCACAGCTACATTGATCTGATAAGCAACGGCAGCCTCAGATCAAGCACATTTGTATTATCAGAGGGAAAAGCAAACTAGAAAGATGCGTGCAGCCTCCTGAGTGGGCTGGGGCTGGGGCTGGGGCGGGGACTCTGGGGTGCCTTTTGTTTGTTCCGCATTTGCTCAGCAGCAAGAGGCCCTGGGTTTGGCTTTCAGGCTCTCAGAGCTACCCTGCCTGGGAGGCAGGGTCTCAAGCAGCTGGCCCTCTGTGATATTAGAGTGTAGACTGGATTCAATGTATGGTGAGGCCCAAGGGAGGCTCCTGGGTGGCCAGGGATAGTGGACAAGAGGCACAGAACCAGGCCTCTATTTATTATGGTTTCCACAGGAAGAGATGGGCAGTCCCCTCGCATTGGCTGGTTGGGGTTGTTTCAAAAGGCAGGGGCGTAAGGTTTGTCCCCAGTGGTCCCATCCTCAACTCTTGACTCTCTTGGGAATGACCGTGGGGTGGCAGTGACAACTCCAGGAAGGATCCTGGGTTGAGCCCCTGGAAGATGGTTTGTTTGCATGTGAAAGGGGTTTACTCTCCAGAAATTGGCCAATCTGGAAGGAGCCAGTCCACCAAGGTCACCAAGGCCCCAGGGGTCTGAGCTCAGGGTCCCTCCCCCTTCCCAAGCTGTTGGCACTTCCTTGATGGTGGGAGTCCTCTGCAGGCTCCTTCCTTTCACCTACACACACACCCCTTACTCTGAGACTGAGATGTGGTTGCTGTTACCTTGATTTTGGGGGGCCATTTCAGGATTGGCAATGCCCACTGCAGAATGGAAAAACTCAAATAGCATGATGCGCTGACAGCAAGAAGCCAGCCCCCTCCCTCCACTCTACCCCTGCTTCCTTGTCCCGGGGTCCCTCCCTGCTAAATAAGAGCCAAATTCACTGCTGCAGCCCACGCCACTGTGGCTGGTGACATAGTGTTCTCATGCAGCAGTCCCCACCCAGGCTCGCTCCCCTAGGGCACCACGGCTCTGGATGGCCAGCTCTGGGCCACTGCAACTCCTGCTGCTATGAGTCAGGTGCACTGAGTGTCCCCAAAGTGTGCCAGGGCAGCTGTGGCAGAGTTTGTGGGGTGGAACTGCCTTGTGGAAGGCACATGTGGGCACATTTCAGACCGTGCCCTGAGGCCAGTCCTGCTGCATACCTCCCCTGGTGGCGTGGGATGAAATCTGTCTGACTTCCTGCAAGGGAGATGACTCCCCAGGACCTGGTGTCTGGCTGGGGAGAAGGTGTCACTCATCCTCCCTGGGAGCCGGGGAGCACAGCAGCCTACATCTTCAGGGCTTGGCTTCTTCTTTGGAAACCCAGAGAGGGCTCTGTAACAGGCACCACTGCCTCCCAAACCTGGCCTGTCTGTGATACAGGACCAGTCCCTGCCTCATCAGGGGTGGGCAGGGATGTGCTAGGAAAGCTGAGCATCATGGAAGGAAGGAGCAATCATCAAATGCAGTAGTAGCCAGTATGGGGGCAGAATGTATGTGTGTGTGTGTGTGTGTGTGTGTGTGTGTGTGTGTGTGAAGCCTCAGCTCCACTGGGACTGCAGCAGATATATATTGGGGCGATACCCCTCTGGGAAACTTCTGGAAGTCTTCCGCAGCCCTGATGGCTCTGGCTTCTCTACCTCCCCCAGCACGTCACTGTTGCATACTGTCCCACTGGCTGGTGTTACCCTATGGGGACACTCAGCACCTCAGCCTATCACCCCAACTCCCGAGCTCCTACTTAAGGCCTCTGTATCTCCAACCCATAGACACATAATACTAAGCCTCTGCTGGTCATGTTGGATCTGTGACCTCCCCACCCTTGTGTGAGGGCCAGGCTCTGGGGACTAGCTGGGGATGTGCTCCTGATGTAGCACCTCTCCCCTCACTGGCTCCACTCTTCCTCTGCTGGGTGGGGGGCTCCAGCAGGCTCCATCCCTTCCTCCAAGACTGGAGGCACTGGGGACACTGGGGAGGGGTGGGGAGTGACCAGGGTGGCTGCTGCCCTCACCAGCAAGGAACCTGCCCCTTTCTCAGCAGAAGCCACTTTTCCCTAAGTTCTCCTGGTTTTAAAATAATGTTTCTTCATATATTTCAAGCATTGTAGCCAACGAACAAAACCCAAAACCATCAAAGACCTAGTTATATCCGAAACCACTAATTTGGAATTCTGAAAATGATCCTCTCCGCCCATCCCGCAGATGAGAAGAAGCCAGGTGAGAAGGTAGAGGGAGGTAGGGAGGGGTGGTCTCCGGATGCAGAACAGGCAAGATCAGAATCCACCCCCCTCCCTTCGTCTTTGGGTCCTTTCCTGTTCGTCTGCTCCTTTGTTTCCTCGTCTTCTCTCAGTCCCTCCCTCCCTCTCTCCGCCCACTGGTAGTCAGGACTGCGGACCCCCGCCTCTCCTGGCCCCTCCCCACCCCACACGCATATAAGGGAGACAGCACTAGTAACAAACAGCTCACCCGGACCAGGACAGCACCCTGCACCCCAACTGGACCCTCCACCCCAGGCGCTCAGCCCCGGAGCCTCTGCAGTGGGACTCTGACCTCCAGTGCACAGGACCCTGGACTCTGGACCCTGACTCAGGTGACAGCCTCAGGAGACCCAGACCCAACCCGTGGGGGTGCCAGAGCCCAGTGTTAACTGGAGATCTTTGCTCGGGGGTCCTCACCCTGGCCTTGGGGTTCTGTGGCTGTAATTCTAGCCCAGCACTGCACACAGAATGCAGCTCCAAACAGGGTCTCCAGCTGACTGGGACCCAGCAGTGCTCATGTGAGCACTACCTGGCACCTGGTCTACAGGGTGGGGCTGTAGGAACCGAAGGTTTATGAGAGTGGGGGTGGGGGCTCTGGACAGCATGACCAGGGTGGGGGCAGCAGGAATGGTCCCTGGGCACCAGAACAGGGGACAGGAGGTGCAGAGGGTACTGCTTAGGCGGGCAGCAGTGTGTGAGAGCAGGGAGCTGGAGGGAGCAGGGAGCAGTGTACTCACCTTTCCTGTCCCTGTCCCAGACACCATGATGCCTGGCCCTTGGTGGCCCCTCGCCTTGGCCCTGGCCCTGATCGTGACCGGTACCCCAGGGGGCTGCATCCAGCAGGAAGCACTGATGGCAGCTGAGGGTCCTGGCTTGGATGACCTCCTGCAGCAGGCAGAGCACCTGCTCCTCCTCGGGGAAGATTTACAGGAGCAGCCAGGGGCACCTGTGGAGCATGGTGAGTGGGAGGTGGCGACTACCCACCCTCCTTGTCCTCTCCCTGCAAGGTCAGCTTCCTCTTCTGTTTCACTCCAAATGGACCTTCAGTGGGAGAACCTTCCTTAACTCGTGTGTGACAGGCATACAAGTATTTCCTAGGCTCTTTCAGTTTACTGTCAGCCTCCTGAGTGCTGGATATTCTATTTTACACCCAAAGAAATGAGGCTCAGGGAGGTTGCAAGATCACTAAGGATCACACAAAGTTGGGGGGATAGAGCAAGGCTTGGGTCCTCTGTGTGTCCCTGGGAGGGTTACTCATGCAGGTCCCTTATGGCTGCTCTCTGCTCCCAGAGTCCCAGGTCCCACAGCCACACTGGCTCTTCAAGCGTCAGCACCCAGGCAAAAGGGAGAACACTGAGGAAGGGCCTCAGCAGGAGGAAGAGGAAAGGAATACAGTGGGTCTCCTCAAGCGGCAGCACCCTGGTCGGCGCTCACTCTGGCTGGAGTATCCAGTCACTAAGAGGCAGCACCCAGGCCGAAGTCTGGTGGACTCTCACAGCCAGAGGAGCTTGGAAGAGGACTTGGAGGACAATGGCGAGAGGGCACCCCTGCCCGAGAAGCGTCAGCACCCCGGCAAGAGGGTCCCAGAAGGGCCATGTGGGTCCTGGGGTGCCTGTGACCAAGTCAGCCTCCTTTTGGGGCTCCTGGGTGACCTGGACCAGGGCCAGGGGTCCCAGGAGAAGCGGCAGCACCCAGGGCGGCGAGCCTATTGGGCTAGGGAGCCCCTGGAAGCATAAACCTCACATCCTGGGTGTGGAGTTGGGGTCTGCGGGATCTGAGCCTTGTGTGCCCCAGGTTTCAGAGCTCCCCAGCCCCTCCTTAGATCCTGACTGTACATCTGAACCCTTCCTTCAGGGATGTGACTGCCAACCAAGAAGGGAAAGCCCATGCTGCCCACACCTGAGCCCCTTTCTTCTATGTCATCTAAGGAGTCCCCACAGAGAGAAGGTGCCAAGATGTCCATGCCCAGTTCCCATCCTCTATTGCATGTAGCCAGACTCTTGAGTGTGTACCTTGTCCCAGCCCCAGGTCCCAGGGCACCTTCTGCTGGTGCGCTGCACTCCCTGGGAAAGTTGTTCTGGAAAACTCCCTGCTGTGGGCATGGATGCATTTGGGAACAAATGTCACCCTGGAAGCTGTGGCTTTTGTGTAATGTTCTAGGCACTCTGCCCAGTCCATGAGAGTCACTCCTAATGACAATAAAGTGCCATTGGATCATCTCAAGCTGTGTGGTTGCATTTTTGTGCAGATTTAAATGGCAGGGGGTAGATGGAGTTCCCTGGTCTGCTGCAGGGAAATCAGAGATCTTGAAAGGTGAGAGCCCATGCCAGTCCCCGTTTCAGATATATGAAAGAAAAAAAAGGAGGACATAGAGAAACCAAGGCTTGGAGAAGCAGTGCCTACCAAAAAACATGTGGTCAGGTGCAGCCTGAGGTAGAGGGGACATTTGAGGTCCCACATCTGCTAATTTGGGAGTGGGAGAGAAGGATGGGTGTGGCTCAGGTCTGTAATCCCCAGGCATGTAATCACTGATGGCCTATGGTACCTAAAAGCCGATTATCAGACAGGCATGACCCAGCAAAGACCCATTTGCTGTCAGGAGACTCAAACCAGGAGCTTTTAGGGTCAGCTGGGTGCAGAACAGGAGGGAATGGAGAGGTTGGGGAAAAGCAGGAGTGGTCATCTGAAGACACCTAGACCCTGAACTTTTAAGTAACCTGTGCAAGCAAACACCAGCAACAATTAACACACATCATACTGTGCACCAAGGATGCACCACCCTGTCTCCCTGAGCCATGTGTGGTGGATGTGGTTCCTCTTCAGTTACTTAGTGCTTAGCGTCTCCTCTCTGCCCTGTGAGCCACTGCTCCAGAAAAGGTGTGGCTTCCATCCTGGAAAAAGGCTAACCCAGATGGAACTTTAGTTTCCTCTTTTATGATCCCCGCATACCTGTGGCTGTATAAGGCTTAATGAGGTAGAGTAGTCCACGGACAGCTCCTAGCACAGATTCAGCCCAGTGGACTCTGGTAAATGACCCAAGGACAGAAGCAGCTAAACACTAACTTTTAAAGGCCCACCTTTCCTTTCTTGCCTCATTCCCCAATGACAAAAATGAACAAAATCAAAACAAAATAAAAGAGAAAGCTGCTGAGCATTACTGGAAATCTACACCAATAACTGGGTTTTTGGTCTCTGACCAGTCCACCATCTGCCTCTCAAATGTCCCCTCCTTCCTCCTGTATGTGTTTTTGGGTAGGCAATTCCCAGGCTCCCTTGCAGCTGGGCAGGGGCATGTAACCGGTCCTGGCCAGTGGGCTGTGACCTGAGTCATCTCCAAGCACCTGAGACGTCTCCTTGCTTCTTTGTTCCTGCCTTGGCAGCCTGGGAGACCATGAGCTGAGACACCAGGGCACATGACAAAAGATTCTGGGCCCTGGCATCACCAGATAAAAGAGTCTGCTGCATCAGACATTTTTGTGTGTGCAAGAAATAACTTGCATTAAATCACTGAGACTTCAGGCTTTATTTTTTTGTTACTTTTAATCAGCTTTTATTGGCACATTTTAAGTACCTATGATGATCATATTTCATCACAGAGAATGTGTACCTGTACATGATATAACTATTTTCCCCCCACTCCCTTCCTCTGTCTTCAACCTTCCTCCCCGTATATCCCCAGCACTTCACCATTTCTGACAAACACAGACGCCTCCTCCCTGTTCTCTGCTCTGAAACCTTTCTACCTTTTCCTTCTTACACATGCCTGCCTTCATTTTCACTGCCCAGATCAGTGCCTGGCATGAAGTTAGTGCTCAATAAACATCTGTTGCACAAACTTTGAAAGCTTCAGGTACCTTCCATTTTTGCTTTCCCAGCATGATTTCGTGAGGTTCCCTGCAGTAAAAAGTCTTCCTAATCAGTGGGGAGACAGACTTGCAGTCACAGGATACCTGAATATGACAGGTGTTGATGGCAGGGAACAGAAGGTGCTGGGTGACCTCAGTGAGACAGCTTGTTTCCTGGAGGAAGAGACCTCCATGTGTCCAGAGATAAATAAGAGGAAAGGTGTTAAAGGCACTGGGAAGGCAACATGCACTCTTGGGGGGCTGGTATTCAGAGTCTGTGGTGTTTGATTCCCCATCTTCCAACCCTGAGCCCCGTGCCTGACCCAGTCTTTCTCCTTCCCATGCAGGGACTCTGATTCACAGTTTACAGGTGTGCAGTGGTGTAAAAAGGTGTGGATTGGTGTGAATGGATGTGGGATGGTATGGAATGAAGAAAGTCTTCCTGAAGGGAGGCTTAATTTGAACTGAGCTCTGAAAGATAAGAAAAGTAAAATTTTTCTGATGCTTTTCTTTGGGGCCAGATTTTGAGTAAAACACTTTCACACCCACTGCTGTGCAGAGCACAAATAACTGGTGTTTTTTTCTTTATTTTATTTTTTTGATAACTTAAAAGTATATGTGAACAGAGAAAGGGCCCATTTAGAGAAAATAAAACCAAAGGAGAAGTGGTGGCCAATTTCGCAAGCCTGAAACAGGGGAGTTGTCTCTGTGCCCTCCTCCTCATCTCTAGCACTCTAGTCACCTCATCCTGGAGATTTAACTTGTTAAATTTTAAAACAAAAAGAGATGACACAGAATTTCAAAACAAAATAATAAGAGGTTGGACATTTACTTTTGACCCCTGTCTTAAATCCACCTCTTCCTTCCATCTGAGTCCCACCACCCTGACCCCAGCCATCATAGTCCCAGAAGTCAAGACCACAGTGGCCTCCTCTCTTGTCCCTGCATTCAGTCCCCCAAACCTGTTCATACCTGGCCACAGGCCTTTCCTCAAAATCAAAATCAAATCTTGTTACAGTGCCCACCCTGACTGAAGGTGCCTAGGATAAAACCCAGACCCCTCTTGATGGCTGAATAGCCTGGCCAATGACCTGTTTCCTGGACACACCTCATGGCTTTGGTTCACATCCTTTTCTCTATCTAGAATCATCCTTTTCTTCTTTCTCTATCCTTCTTGATTACCTCTTAATGTCCATTCCTGTTCTGTGCAGCTTGGAAAGCAAAGACTATCTTTCCCAGACTCCCTTGCAGCTAAGATTTGTGGCTTTGCAGAAAGTTTCCTTCATGGGTCCACTCCAGGTGTCATGGTTTATGTATGTGTCCCCCAGGCCTCATGAGTTTGCATTGTTCATTTGTGATGGTGCATTGTATAGTGCTTGGATTGATGGTGTCAGTGCTCCACCCATATAGGGGTGGATCCAGGATGTGATGTAATGGCAGGAAGAAGGTGTGTCTTTCTCTTTGCTGGTTCGAGTTTGCTGTTGGCGACCACCATGAACTGCAGCCCAGCCATGCCTGCCTGTCTTGGAGCCAACTAAGTGTGGACTGAAACCTCCAAAAACTATAAGAAATAAACTTTTCCTTTCCCAACTTGGGCATCAGATATTTTGTCTCAGCGACGAGCATAAAGTAACTAAGACACCAGGGAAATTTAGAAGGCTGTGTGAATCTTTATGCTAGTAAGCAAGGTTGTGCTGCTGCTTGGTTTTTTGGTAGTAGCTTCTAGTGTATGAACTCAGTGTGAGAATATCTGGAGTCAGGTATACTGGCAGCTTCCTGAGCACTTTCACATTTAGTGTATTTTACTTTATTTCATTCTATTTTATTTTATTTTACTAGGGATTGAATCCAAGGCCTTTACACTGGATTATACCCCCAAACCTTAAAAAATTTCTTTTTAAAAAAATTTTGAGACAGGGTCTTACTAAGTTGGTAGGTTGCCCAAGATGGGCTTGAACTTTTGATCCTCCTGCCCAAGCCTCCCACACTGCTGGGGTTAAAGGTGTGCATCACAATGCTGTGTTTTTTCATTAGTACATGTTTGCAATATATAGTAATTACAATCATTGTACTAGCTGTGTTTTTTTATTTTTAAGCAACTTTATTGGGATGCACATGGACACACACATACACTTACATATGAGCAACTTTAGTGAGATATATAATTCACCCATTTGAAGTGTACAGTTCCATGAATTTTAGTATGGTTACTAAGTTGCATAACTACCACTACAATCCAAGGCACATATACTCACCCTGGGAAGCAGCCTTTTTCCACTTTGACCATCACTTTCACCTATCGTTCCCCTAAGTATCGTTCCCACCTCTTCTAGCTCCTAACAAGCTCTCATCTATTTTCTACCTCTGTGAATTGGCATATTATGTATGATTCATAAAAATGGAATTATATACTATATAATTTTTCATATGTAGCTTCTTTTACTTAAAGTGCTCTCCAGCACCTCAACCATAACCTCCCACTGGAGCTTGGGTCTGGGAGGCCCCATAGCCCATGGGTGGAGGCATGGCTATGCACAGTGCCCTGGGGAGGCTTTGAGACCATTAGAAGGTGGGCAGTGAAAGGTCTAGGACACTAGGTTCTTGGAAGGCACAATGGGACCCTGACTTTTCTTCTTCTTTGGTCCCTGACCTGAGACATGAGTGTCCACTCTGCTGTGACAGCTGCCTCCATCTGGGCATGGCCTGGGCCCTCCCAAGCCACCAGCCAAAGGCCCTTTTCCTTCAAGTTCACTGTCCCAGGTGTTTAATGACAATGACAGTTGCTGATGAGCAGACCCTTTTTACCTATGGAGATACCTGGCTCACACTGCTGCTATACCCCTGTGCCTGCTGAGCCTGCTTGGGCAGCTGTGGAAAGCTGGACAATGAAAGTGTGGATGGGGTGAGGCCCTGGGTTCTGTCCCCACACCCACCCCGAGATATACACATAAATATCTATATATTTACACAAAAAAGCTGCCCTCCCTCCCACTCAGCCAAGCCACCCATCCTGTCCTGCTGTCACAGCTTCCTCTTAGCTTGTAATTAATTCTTTCTGCAAACCTTATTTTGATTAATTAAATGCAATCAGAGGCCTGGTTTTCCAAGCCACTCAGTTCCTGTGCGGACCTCCCGGGTGGCCCAAGAACATGTAGGGCTTCTCACCTGGAGGATGTCAGCAATTACAGCCCAGCCGACCATCGACCATAGCAGAGAACAACAATTAGCTCAGTGGCCAAGTTATGCTGAGCACTGCAGGTTACCAAGGGGATCCGTGGCACTGCCAGGATTTAAGTAGCTCTTGTCTTCGGGGATCATCTTTCCTGAACTGCAGCCACGTTCAGGGCCTGGTCATTATTGGCTGGCTGATTAGG